TTCTCCCATGTTGAGAAGCTGTTTTTCGATTTTAACATATGAATTATTGAGAATTACAAGTGACTGGAAGCCTCGAGGACGGTTTCACATACTGTTCAAACAAGTGTTTAGTTGTCGTAACGGTGTTCAAAGGGTTTTCTCTCTTAAGTTTAGCATATGCACACCCGGATATCGACTACAAACTCTTCTTCAAGCCTTCTAGCAAGCTTGTCACGAGTGCTTAGTAATATCAGAGCCGAGAAAACTTCCTCTAAAGACTTCCACCAAGTTTTAAAGTTTAAATTTCACTTGGGAAGAAACTTGAGGAAACAGATACATGGAAGATGTCTTGAGATTGGAAGACAACCATCATTTCTTCATCATCATCATCATGAGATCCAGTTTGGTTATTGATGAATACCACAGTTGCCACTGCTTTAAATTATCCTCATTAGTACCTAAAAAAATTCAAAAGAGAGTAATTGAGTTCTACATATAAATACATGGTATAAAATTCTAAAAAATAATCCAACAATGATCTTTGAATCATTAAATAAAATTGATCATCATAAAAGAGCTTGTGAAACACGTGAAAATAAATGGTTGATAATTATACATTGTTGAATAATCATTATTAAAGGTATAAGAATAAAAAAAAAATGAAGAAACAATCTATTTATAAAATAAACATTAAAATATATTTAATTAATTATATACCTCAGATTAATCCGATAATATTTTCTAAATAACATTAAATGTACCCCTCATGTTATTTAAAGAGAAATTCTGACGTAATGGTCAATACCTTAGCGACGAAGGTCTGAAACACTAGACGGCACGGGTCTTCTTCAGCATTGAGTAATGCGGTGCGGAGTGGCGATGATGAGGGGCATTAATATCTGATGAAAACGTCTCCTTTTCATCTTCAACAGCATCTATCCAGGTCCATGTTTCTGCCCAGGTGCGTGGGGAGTGTGAAGTCAGAGCATGATAGTGTCTCTGATGGCCATATCTTGTTGTGAAATTAATAGCTACGTGATATTGTTCTTAAAGTGATAGAAAGGAACTGAAGAATTACCTTGGACACCTTCAGGCTTTATTACTAAGTTGGTGTTTAAATTAATTTTATCAATGAATCCATTTATTTATTTACAACAAGTAACTTCTTTTTATTTATTGATCTAGTAAGTAGTGCAATATCATGATAATCATCTCCCATACAGTTCTCTTGTTGAGCTAGTAATTCAGCAAGAACGATGTTACCATTGATTACATGGAAATTTTCACCCATTCGTTGAACCAGACAATAGCTACGCAATGTGCATCAACAACGACTTATTTCCATTATGAGAACAATAAAGGAAAAAAATCCAATTATTAATTTTCCTAGAAGAGGTGTAATTGTTTTTTTAGAATGTAAGTAAATGAATGTAAACGTAGTAGATTTATTAAATTCTTGATAGTCCATAAATCTTTTAATTTGTTGATGCTTTTGAAAGCAGTGCATTGCATATGAAGCAGTAAATTTTCCACGACAAATAGTCGACTCGTGTGTTATTCAACCAAGCTAATTGTTGAGCTCTCGAATGTCGGCATTTACTTTTTGATTCATTCTTCCACTGTTCTATCTCTTCCTCTTCACTATCGATTAATCGATTATATGCTTGTTCACCACCTGCGTCTTGTCTTTACCATTGAATTACAGAATTTACTATTGCGGTTTATCTCACTTTTATCAATAGGATTGAGTATTTGTGAATGAGGAAAAATGATAAAATCACATAAAGGTATCACTGAGTTCAATTTTAGTTATTCAGTTTTTTTTAAATTCAAGTTCCATTCTTTAGCTTAGTAAAATGTTTCAATAAGTTAAGAAGGCTTTATTTAAAAAAAAAGTTGTAATTTATTGAAAATAGCTAAATAATTTAATTAAAAATTGCTATTTTTATAAACAATATACAATTGTTTAATCACATCAAGTTATTTATAACAATATTTTTAGCAACCATGTTATTAATATTAATCTCACGTACGTACATGCATCTATTTTTAAACCTTCCAATATGCTTTCAAATATCTTAAAACATAAAAAATTGACAATAACTTCCTAATGGGAAGTTAAAAAATATTTCAAAGTAATAAATTTCGAATTAAATTGAAAAGTCTATCTCTTCATGTAGTTTATGACGACAATCTATTATTCAAATAAAAGTAAAAAATTTAAAAGCATATCCAACAAGATTAATAGTAACTAATTAAGATCCCAAATGACATGAAAAAAAATAATCAGCCGTCATGTAGAACGACCACGACAGTAATTCGAGTTCAAGAAAAAGTGAAGTGATTATACCGTAAACCATTGAATTTGTCGCTCATTTATTCGCCTGCTCAGGATCGTCTATCGTATGCATAAATACCTACAAGTTAGATTTTCCCTGTCGTACGAATTCCCGTTTGTACGCGGACTCATGCTCCTTTCCCCTTAAGAGTATGCTTGGTTGTTACAAACGCTCCATGGCTTGTGTCTCGTCGCCGCCAAGATCGAGATGCAAAGAAGTCCCGCGTGCTTTTAAACTTGCCGCCTTCGAAGCGGATAAATTCGCCCGGGTCTTTCGATCTATTAATTCGAGCCGGTCGTTACATTCCTCCCAAGCTCTCCCTATGTCTGCATTTACTTCTTTACCAAGAGAGACTCAGACACGACCTTATTGGCTTTCATGAAGACTTGCCAGCCACGCGAATGTTTCGTTCTCAACATTTTTCTTCACCCTTCTTATTTCTTCCCTCCTTTATTTCGTCATTTTATCCTTAGGTGACATTCAATTAATTCACTCGACTAACGGAAACAAATCTTATGATAAACATCAAAAAGTTGATTAATACTTCAAAATAATTTTTTTTTCTTCATACATTAATTTATCATTTATTCAAAAGCAAAAAAAAAACATTTTCTTTAAAGATTCAAAATACGAAGTTGTTGTTCTTGAAGAAAAAATTTTTTCGTATTTATTTTTCACTTTAGGAATGAAATTTTTACTAGATATTCACTTGGAAAAATATCAAAGCAAAGTGGATGAAAAATAGAGGATAAGCTATATAACAGAAGGTGAGAAATGTGAGTTGCTACGTGACCGATGTCTACACACCGCTGTCAACTCGTTGACATATCGCTCTGATAAACTAACGACGTGCGAAGAGAAGAAGGTTTCTCTCCCACACGACCTTTTCCATATCCTCCGACACGTTCACTCAATTTTTTTTATTCAACAGCTTCAGAAATTGATTAATTTACAACATTATTGTTCTTCCTTTTATTCTATTTTCTCTGTAAATCAATTTTTTTCAGTTGACAGTCCTGATGTAAGATTTTAGATACATCCTAATTCACAATACTTCTTCTTTATTTTTTCAATTGAAGAAATCTACTTCTTCACCTCAGATCATCTTTATTCATCATGATTATTATTAAATGAATTTCTTTTTTCAAGTTTTGGTTTGGTTACAATCTTTTTTTCACCCTTAATATCATTTCTCTTATATTTTTTAAAAGTTACTATCCACTCAAAGCCATTTTTTTCGTGAAACCGAATTTTTTACTTAGTTCTTATTATTTATAATTATTTAGTTAATTATTATTCTGATGAGAAGCTTTTGAGTTGAAAATACACAAATTGAGTTGTCTCGAGTGGCTGTACATTAACATGAGAAACAGACAATTGTAAAAAATTGGAAAAAAAATCAACTTGTAATTTTATGATAGAAATCACTTGAAATTACTCTGAATCCATGTACAATATGATATCGCATAAAGTAAGTTCGTGATCTTATATTCCACTTAACTAACATTACCCTTGCTTGAATATTTTTTTAAATAACCACCACGTCACGGAGGCTACAATTACTAATTTAAAGGCGAGACCAAGTCGTGCCAAAAGCGATCGTAACATCCAACCAACGCCCTCTTTCTCGCGTGCATGTTCTTCAACTTTATGAAATAAATATAAAAATAATAGAAGTTTTGATGGTAAATGTCTTGAACTTTTTCGCTTACGGGGGTGGTTGCAAGTAAGTTTCATTTAAACGCCCAACTTTGTTAGTGAAACTGACCATCGGCAGTCACTAATTATATGGTTGCTTCTTACAGGAGGAATGCCTTTGCAAGGCGTCACTGGCAACACGTAAATTTAGCGCAATGGGAATCAGTTAATCCAGAAAAGACGGCTGGGCTTTTAATATAATTAAAAGGTAAACCTTTTACTGGTGCATTTATTTTTCATAAAAGTTTATAAAGAAATACCGGCGCCTCTGGCTAAAGTTAAAACTCCAATGAGAAATATGTCAGACTTGATTTCAATCAATGTGAAGTTGGAAATTAATAAATATTATGTACAACAGTTATTCATGTTACTTGGTTGGTATTGTAGTTTTAATTGATTAGATAGTCACTCACGTGATCATCGTAAGACCATTCATAAATTTTATTGTTTACACAAAACCATTTACTAGGGGAACAAGTAAGTATTTATGATTAATGATAAAATTATTAACTTTATCAAGTACATGCTTGTGCAATGTTACATTTAGTTACATCATTTTAAGGAACAATAATAGACTATATCACTTTCTCTTATACACATCCTAGAAGTAACTAATAATTAATAATTAGAAAATATTTTATGTAAACATTATTAATATTTCTGAAAATATTATTATTTAAAAAAAAATTAATTTAAAATTGAAAATGATTATTTTGCTTCGAGCTGAACAATCTCTTACACCTGTTAGAGGCTTCGTATTCGTGGAATGGAGCATTCAATGAAATTAAATACAAGTGATTCAGAAATAATTAAGACAAAGAATGAGATATTAAATATTATTTCTTGTCAATATAAATTTTTTCTTATCATTTTGGAATGTAGAATATCGAATATCTCTGTTTATATAAACTGAATTCCCTTCCATCTGTTAAATATAACATCATTGTTTTGGTTCTACACCATGTATGTTTTGAATAAAATTAGGAATTTCAGTTCTGTGACCACAAGTGTCAAGGTTACTTTTCGAATGCGTCTTATTATATTAACAGTTGTTGAAGCCTCTCGAACATAGTTGTGTCGCAACTTCAGCGTGAATCATATCAGTGTTTCGTAAAAATTTAGGTAATATATGAGTATACAATAAATAAATATGTTTTTTCATATTATTAAATTAAAAAAAGTACTTCTCAGAATGGTTTACATTCGTTACATGATATAAAAAAATTACCATAACTTGTATTTCCTGAATTAATAGTAATTAATTGAAATAATAAAAATTACAAAGTATTTTTCAAAGCTAGTATTAATTGAATGTCAAATATTGTGACATAAAGCATGGACGTTTTATTTATCTTATCTGGTGTTCAGTTGATGGTTATTTGGTACTTATTTCAACGAATTAATAAAGGAATATTGTTTTAGATACTAACGTGAACATTCTTTTGTTGGATTATTTTCAAACATCATCCAGTCATGAAGCTCAGTAAGTAAATAATTATCATTAAACTTTACTTAAAACCATATCTTTTTTAAAAATGAACTATTCTCAAAAATATTGTAAATACTTGTTGCAGTGTCAAATATCATTTTATTATTATTTTGTGCTTTCACCATAATCGCAAGTTCCTCAGCTATTCTTCTCCACCCTTCTAAAATCAAACCATATTTGTTGGTAGCTGAGGCATCAAATAATTTTACAAATAAATTCTTTCCGGTAAGGTATTTATATTTTTAACAATTACTTATGTAATTAAATTATTCTATAATTAAACAGTATAAATAATTTCCAGGCTTTATTAGATCACGTTCAAACAAGAAATGCCATTTATTCACCACTTAGCGTCTATGCTTGGATAATTAGCATATACTTTGGTGCTGAAGGAGAAACCCAAAATGAATTGAAATCAGTTGCGTATTTGGCCCATGATGGCGTGAATCTTCAATCCGCATTTCGAACTGTATTGGATTCAATCGAAGTAAGTAATATATAATAGAATAAATTTTTTAATAACTTAAAATATTCATGTATTTTATCTATTTTACAGCGTGGTGAAAAAGAGGCCGTAGTTCGTACAGTCAATTATATCTGGATTGAGAATAAGTTCTCAATAGCTCCAAAATTCAATGAATTTGCTGAACTTTATTGTAGTGTTCATACAGACGTGTTTAATCCTAATATGCTTGAAGAAAGTCTTAATAAAATAAATGCTAGAATTGAAGATAAAACACATGGTCTTGTAAAAAATATTCTTACAATGGGTAAGTTAGATATTGATTTGAAAAATAGCAATCGATATTATTATTTCGATTTATTATTATTATAAATAATTTATTATTTCATTAGATGATTTAAATGGGGCAAAAGTATTAGCAGTGAGTAGCACTTACTTCACTGGAGAATGGGCTCATAAATTTTATTATTCACCATCGACTGAAAAAACTATCTTTCATGTTAGTGAGGCAGAAGGAACCATGGTAAACATGATGCACGTCGTTGGTAAATTTAATACTGGTAGAGTTCCAGGTCTCAATGCTGATTACGTAGAGTTACCTTTCAAGGACATAGAGGTAAAAATTTCATTACTATTTATTTTAATTAAAGAGATTTCATTCTACTCTACCTTAGTTTCTCTAAATTAATCATCAATCTATCCATGTTTATTTTTCATAGCCGTGGGGTCGTAAGAAAGCTATTACCATGTTCATCATTCGTCCTGATTCATTCAGAGACTTGGAGCAGCTTGTTAGTAATTTTGAGAAAATAAATATCTCAGAACTTGACTCTGAACTGCAATCTCTGAATGTGTTTCTGCCACAGTTTAAAGTTGAAAGCAAGTTGGAATTGACACAAACTATGAATGAAGTAAATTATACCATCATTATCAACATTCGTGAATTATTTTAATAAAAAATTCAATTACGATATTAATTTTATTTAATATTCTCTGGATAAAGGTTGGAATTCAAAAAATATTCAACGCTTCAGGTGAGCTGAATCATATGGTCGAAGAGAATGTCACAACACCATTCGACCTTTTTGTGCAAAAAGTTTCTTTGGAGATCAACGAAGTAGGAGCTAACGTGAATAGTGGAGGAACAGGTAATAGAAATTTTTATTAATAAAAATGTTGGTTGTTACTAATATTTATTTTTTCAGTTATTAAACCCCCAGATGCCAATGATTATCCAAAATTTTGGGTGGACGCACCTTTTCTTGCTGTCATTTTGGATAATGAAACTAAAGCTAAGATTTTTGTTGCTCGCATCGTTCATCCTAATGAGTGGCTGTTAAAACATTAATCTTTTTAAAAATATTTCATTTTTATCATAATCAATCAACTTATTATTAATCAATAATTATGTTTTATTCTTAACTTACTTCGAATTACGATAATGTATTATTGGACCATTATTGATAGTATTTTAATGAGTGATAATCTTTGCATGTGGTGTGGGTTTTTATAATTAATTTACGACAATCATATTCAAACAGTATCTTTTATAACTAATATACTGATGATGTACGTTATTCAATAAAAAGCAATGTTCTTTTAATGAAGAATTTTATTATGTTGATACTGATAAAATAAAAAATACAGATAATAGTTTTAATTATTTTTTATTTTTATCATCAGTAAATAAAAAAAAAATACTTGTGAATAATCTATAAGAGGAGTTATAAAATGTTCTTACTTATTTATGAAGTAAAAACTTAGCTTGAAAGAATTGATGCAAAAAAAATTCATTATTGAATATCTATAGGCACGTTTGCGTGTATGAATATCTAAAAAATTTGCACGATCGCACGTAAGCTCATGGCAAGCAGTAAATACACAATGATCGTAGTGTTCGATATACATTTGATAAGCTTAGGTACACGACCGTTCGACCGCTGACAAATCGTTGGGAGATCGGCCGGTCGATATTCAGCGAGAAACCAAAGGGAAAACCAGAACTGATACACGCGAAGAGCAGAAGATGTAGACAGGACAAATCTCAAAAAATAACAGCAAAAATTTTGCAATAAGAATAATTAATAAGAAAACAAGAAATAATCTGCTATATTTGAACCTATGAATATTGAAAAAAAAAAAATAATTATGAACTTGAATGATTATTTTTTTTTAGAAAAAATCAGTATTACAGATATTGAAAAACTCTTTAATTCAATAGATAAAGCAGTTTTCCATGATTTTTCACATTTGATAAAGCAGTCGTAGGCAATGTAAGGTCCAAGGTCCGTCAGGTTCGCACGCTCGATCTCGATAAGCTTGCGGGCGCAACACACCACTGCCTAACCGTATGTGCAGCTTCTAAATACTGGTAATGGCGCTTAATATATCGCTGGAAGATAACAATCGTCGGGAAGAACGACGGCGATACGCGCCTTTAGACGTTTAGTTTGTTCTTTCTTTCTTCAAAGAGACTCTCTCTCTTTCTCTTTCTTTCAATAAACTTTATCTCAAGACCCTAGTAAAAAGATCGTTCGCAGGAGTCTTTGTTCATTTTTCTCATCCCTCTCTGTTTCTCCCATTCGACCTTACTGCTGAAGACTCAGGAGTGGAGGTTTCCTTGCATGCGTTCGATAGATCGGTCGATCGACACGGAGAAATGTATTTACGAGGGAGTGTGTGTGAATTTAACCGAGGGCTACTCATTTCCGGTCATATCGTTCGCTTTATCATTTTCATCAGCTATTTATGTACACATAAATGCAATTATTCATTAAAAAGTACAATAAATTTCTCTTTAATCAAATGCTATTGAGAATAACGTTGTTGAAAACATTTATCATCTAGTAATTATATTGACTTTAGAAAAAAAAATGTCTTAAAGCGTTGTTATTATTAGTAAACCGATACATTAATAAAGTAAGACCAACAGCATATAAACTGATACTCACGTGATAGTGAAATTTATATTTCTCAAACTATTAAGAAATTTGTAATAAGGAATTATGTGTAATTAAAATTAAAATCATGCTGAAACAAAATTTTTATTAAGCTGCGATGTAAATTTATTTACTCAATATTTTTCTATATAAACCATTTTTGTTGTTAATATTCCTAGTGACCAGTCCTGATGCAGAAATTTTGCGTCAGATTGCCATTCAGTGTCTGACGTTAAATTTCCTTCTAAATCAGGAAAATAAAAACCGTTGAAAGTTATTAGTTTTAATCATACGAATAAATTATTGACAAATGTAGAGCAAAAGACAACTATTCTATTTCTGTTTTAGATAAGAACGAAGGCACGTGTAAAAAAAGAATATTTATAATCATTTGATTTCTATAAATAATCAATCGATTATTTTGAATATCTTGTATTAATATTTTTAATCGTTTTTGATAAAATAAATGATTCGAAGTCGTAAGATATTGATATTCTACATATAGAATCATAATAGATAAAAAAAAATACCAACACAAAGAGATAACTCAAAGCAACAAGTTTGACACATAAATATAATGATTAATGATGTAATGACCATTTGGTGTATGAACGACACGAAATTTTTATGATACGTTGGGTCTTTAATGACACGGCAATTGCCACGAAGCTGCAATTATTCAGCTGAGTACGTTGGACGCCCCAATGACGTCATCAGTGTGGCTTCTCACGCTCTACGATCTTCAGATCAAAAAATATACGGCGAGTTACAAGAAAATATATAAGTTTAAAAAATAATAAAAAATAAATAAATGACTGCTATAAAGTCGAAAAAATTTCTAATATCAAAGTGATATATTTTTTTTGATTTGAATTTTTTTGTCATAGATCTACTCAGATAGGCTGATCTCGATGGTAGACTAAACGAAACACAATACTCTAATTCCAATTTCACCAAATTATCATAACGATCCTCATGTAAGAAGATTGAGGTCGATTTCTAATTCCCGCAGAGTCCCCTGGAGTGTATCCATAAATTGTGGGCTTTACGCGCGTTTGCTTAGTTTTTACGACCCGCCCGTTTATATATTTGAGAGCGAGACTAAAGAAGAGGAAAAGAAGTAGACGATCAAAGCAACGGGATAGGAAATGAATGAATGTGACCAGGAGCAGTCCATTTGAGAAACATGAAATTTATAATTCGTTGGATATATGTATAAATGAGTATATTTAAAGAATGATGGAATAATTTCGCAAGACAGCTGGAATCTTTAACATGGACCTTATTAGTATGTTAGCTACGTGCTCGAGCTGACTTTTAAACTGATTTCCATCAAATCGATAAATTAAGAACAAATTTTTATCAAACATTTATTTTATTTTTTTTTTTTTTTTTATCTCTTCACTAATCATTGGAATATTTTTTTACCTACACATAGAATAACTAACGATACAACTAAATGAATAATGTTAATTTTTATGACATTGCTTAAAAAATTATTCGATTAATCGATTTGTGCGCATGCGTATACTACATTATCAACATTATTTATACTCTACAACAATCACCTAACGTATCGGAGAGCAAAAATTTAAATAAAAAATATTTGATTTAAATTAGTGAAAAAACTGATTCCATATGTTTGATTTTTATCAATGGAAAATGTACACAAGTGTTGTACCTGATTTCCAGTCATACGTTTTTGATCTATATAGATCAAAATCACGCCGAAATTATCTTTTATTGGTAAGTACAGTGAATAGATAAATAAATAGGTAAAAAATCGTAAGAAAATTATTTCATAGCTAAAACAATATTGACTCTTCTGAAAATGTAATTGATGATAAAACAATATTATTTTGAAAGTCTGTTCTATTATAGATACAGTAATTATTACTGTAATCATTACATAGAAATTATTTAATCGAATTAAATCTTCCGTTGACGTAGGCCAGATGTAATGAAAAGTAAGCAAATATTCATGAGTAGTAGATTTTTCGAATGAATGCTTGTATCGATTCATTAAATTGGGACTATCAATTTTATCATATTTCTAATAGATGTTACAACTAAAAAAAAATAGAATAAATTATCAAAATAAATTGAAAGATATTATTAATTCTTAAAAGATTTTTTCCACGATCATGATTTGTCTGTAAAATATTAAAAAATGTATCTACGATAGAGTCTCATGAGATATAAAATAGAAAGCTACACTGGATTGCAATAAGAAAAATTTGATAAAATTTTTTACTCAAACATTTAAATGTATAGAGTATCAAGAAATCTCATATTAGATTTGATCAGAACGTATTAATCGATTTCTATCGAAACGTTCAGTGTTCCTCGTAAATTAGCTTGACCCGCATATCATGAGGTTGCCCATCGGCCTTTCAAATCCGCTTTATCTTCTCTCTCTGTTTCTTTATACATAAACGAACGATAACCGTTAGAAGACAGACTAAATTTATTTAACCGAACTCATTTGAGTCGTAATAGGAACACTAGTGGGATGAGACACCAAACGAAAAACAGATTTCAAAATAAATTCCATGAATTTCATTTATTTTATCTTTATATTTATTACATTATTTATTTGCTCAATTCATTTGTTGTATTTTATCTTATTTTTTTTTCTCATTCCTGTCGAATAAGCAAATTAACGATGATTCATGCAATAAGTCATTTTATATTTCTCAGTTTGGATTTCATTATAGAAAATATAGACGTCACTTTAGTAATAATACGACGTCTGAATAAAATAAGGAAATCATTGCAACAGGCATTGAGGCGCAAATAAGTCAGGAAAGGCATGAAATCTTTTGCCATTCAAGAGGTTAGTGCTATTAACAGGTCGGTATGAAGAAGAAGGCGCTACATTCTTCAGAGCCCACCAGATGAGCTTTGTGATCTGCGTAATCAACGTGCAGTGCCCACAAACGACTTAACAATTTTCCTCTTGCCTTTCTCGTTCATTGCGACAAGAACACCACAGATCTGCATACTTCATTTGTCATCTAAACATTTCCATTTGTTCTTCCTGCGTTCTTGTTTTTATATTTCGCATTATCATGTTTTATTTGCTCTCGTGTTATTTATAGCACTATGTCGAACGAAATGATAAAGTCATTATTCTTGCATATTTTTAGAATCACGCTTTTATTATAACTTCCATCTAGTGATAGGAAAATATTTCTTTCACTGTTGTCATTTGTTTAACACTGTCATCATTATTATGCATGTTTTTTACGAAAATCAAAGACATACTCCTGATAATGATATTTAAAAATTTCAATAGATAAAAAAAGGTGAAAGCATTGTGTCTCGGAATTTTAAAAATATACATAAATTTATTTAAACAAAAAAAAACATTGGTACAGCTATCAATTATAATTAACATTTAATCAATTATCGTTTTATTCACGGCTGTAATATCTGCGCCAATTTTAGGAAGGTGGATTTTAATATTTGGAATTGATTTTAAAAAAAAGGAACTTCATTTACCAATGAATTATAAATTCATTTAATTTTTATAATCACTGAGAGTAATTGCAAAAACAAACTTTTACCTTAAAAATAGGAAAAAAAATTTGGATAGTACGAATCAATATAAAAAAATTATAATTCCTATACGACTCTTATGAATCATTGGAGCACATTAATTTATA